AGTGATGCTGAAGCGTTCACTCAGGAAAGGAGGTAGGAGGCATTTAAATAACTGTCTCAAGCTGCCAAGATGAAAGCAGAAGTTGCACATTTTTAAAAATGTAATGTGGCAGAACATCTAATAGCTGTAGCGTGGCAGTGCATCCAGTGTTGGGAGTGCAACACATGAGTGGCCTTTGCCTAGGACATGGCTGGTGGCACCAGCAGGAGCTGCCTACCTCAGGGGGAGAGCGAGAGCGAGAGCCCCAGAGCCTCCTTTCAGAGCTCTGGAGCAGGAAAATGAAGTTGGCACTGATCAGGGAAAAATAAGTCAAAGAAGAGGAAAAGAAACATTCCAGATCACTGGAATAAGGATCTGGAGAAGGAGCAGACAACTCTGGCTTTTGACTTTTCACAGTGCCATTAGCTCTTTAGGGACCTGTACCCAGAAGCTCTCAGTTATCAGAGGGCAAAAAAGAGACTTGGTATGGTGCCCACTCTTAACTCTGTCATTACAAAATGCAACTGATTGAAATTGCTGCTGACACAGGGAAGAAAACAGGGTAATTAGGCAGCCATGTCACTGCTCTTGTTTAATTTGTATTACCAAAGCAGCTAGGCTTAGGAGGCATTTCTCTGTCACTCTGTGTAACACAAGTACAGAACAGAAAGACAGTCCCTGTCCCCACAACCTGCAATTTTAATATCCACAGACAAGAGACCTTAAAGAAACAGCAAAAATGTTGAGATGCAGGAGAGGTAGCAGGACAAGCATCTGCCCAGGACCTACTTGTGCTGAGGGAAGGAGGAGGAAGAGGGGGCTGTAGAGGAGGAAAGCTCACATGGCCTTTGCCTGACACAGCAGAGCTGCTGAAAGGATATGTAGACAGGATGAGATGGCAGAGACATGGGTTTAGGGAGAAAACTCTTGTGGTGATGTTCTGGCTGTAGGTCAATGGTAGAAGGTGACATTTGTCATTGCTGTAGCAAAATCTTTTGCACTGGCTGAAGTATAGGATTGTAATGCTGGGAGGAAGCCAGTGAAACAACCAGCATATGTACAGGTACATCCCAAGTATTCTGTATCATCTCTGAGGGACAGAAAGCCAGGTTACAGATAACAACAACATACTGTTGCTGGGGCTGGGTGATCAATTGTAACCATAAGTGTTCACTTAAAAAAAAAAAAGACAAAAAACCCCAAAACAGACAATTCCCCCACTACTGTAGGATTCAGACCTTGTCAAAGATGTCAGTCTGACAGTCCTGGAGTTTGAAGTCCTCTCATTATCCACAGAACAGGTGCAGCAAGGGGGGCAGCAGGACAGTGTTTTCAGTGCTGATCTGACAAGCCTGTCTTTAGCAGTAAGATGCCAGTTTTCTGTGACAGATAAATTGTTGATCTCCTGATGGAGCCTGCAATTTGTGGTGGTAGGAGCAGTGGAGTTTGGAGACCGATTGCACTCTCACTGAGAGCTGAGTTGAGGCAAACCACGTGCTTTGGATCACTTGAGTGAGAGGTCTGTCAGAAGTAATGCATTACAGTCAAGACATATTACAGTGTAATTTAAACCAGGACCTCACAGACAAAAATTTAGGACCCCACTTCAGCACTTCATCATTTTCTCACTGAAGTTCTTTGTGTTGGCTTTCAGGCCCTTGAATAATTCAATATCTTAAAAATTCCTTTCTTGGACCTTGTCATCCTTCCTGACCTGCCTCAGTAACTCAGACATTTTAGGAAAAACTTGAGAAGGGCGTGAGCCAGGTTTGACATAGTATTGGCAGAGTCACTTCACACAGGTGCTGCACCCAATCATATACTTCCAACTGGAAGTTGTGTTTCATTCCTTGTCATATGGTAAATTGCACAACAAGCTCAGCCTCTTAGGATTTGCTGTTCCTGACAGCCTGGAAGCCAAGTTGGCAACCTGGATGAACAATCCTGAAAAACCATTAGCAGCCAGATATCCCATGTCAGACAGCTCCTAGAATACCTGGCAAGGGTCTCTTTTTTCTGACTTAGGTATGAAGATGCCTGGTTTTGATATCATAGTTTTCTACAACTCCAATCTCTATTGCTAGTCTATCTCCGTGGACGGAGCAGAGTTTATAGTTATTAAACCACATGTTTTTTCTAAACTAAGGATTAGTTCAACCAAAACTGCAGCACATCTAGGCAACTTGGAAAGCACTGACAAATCAAAAACTCCTCATGCCTTAGATATGTGTGATAGGTAGTTACCAAAATTTTTTCTCAATTTTTACTCATGTCTTGAACAATTTTTCTTCTCCCCCTCAGCTTTTAACTACGTATTTTCAGAGTCTACTGTTAGCCATGGTTTAGCTTGGGGTTTTAGTTTATATTCTTCTTTTTTCATATCAGTCAATACAACTTGTAAACCCCTTGCACTCACTTAAGAGTTTTAATAAAAATGGTTGTGTTTAGGAGTTTCACTAGTTTGAACCAGGTCCTTGAAATACTATCAATATTTTTCAGAATAGCTGTATACCTTTTTGACTTGTGTTTTGATATTCTGAACTGCCACTGCAAATGTCACTACTTTCCAATATCTATTCAAAATTAAACAGACAGTTTCAGAAAGGTCCTCACCTGCTTCTTTTTCAGATATATATTACCACTGTGTGTGCGCCACAGAAAATGTGAACTTTATCACAGACTTTCCTACCACCTTTTTTGATGTCAATATCAGCATTCTCCATCAGTATCAAATAGGTTGGGTACCTCTTCTTGTCTGATTTAAAATATAGAATATATATATATATACAGAATATTTTTATACCATTACTTCCCATTTTTACCATTTCAATTTGTGTTATTTGAAAGGAGGCTTGTTTTCTTCTGAGTATGTTTTGAGTGGCTTTTAGTGCCTTTATCAGTATTGACTGCTTTCCTTATCCATATTTTTTGGTATTTCTGTTAATCCACTCTTTAAGCATCCAATCTTTATGCACTGATTTTTTCAAATTTTTATGAAATAGTAATGCTTAAACCCTTTTCAAAGCAGTGGGTTTTTTGCCCATAAGATTTCTGCAAACTTTAATTTTAGAACATTTTTGAACCACATTTAAAACTAGTCAACTATGCCGAGAGTTTCTTTCTAGAAAACTGTTGTTTTAAAAGACATAATTATATACATCATCTATGGGTGTCCTATCTGTTTGTACAACACATATGTAATCAGATTATGATCATTCCTACATAGGCAACAGTTAATTTTAGGTCATCTTGCACCAGTGACTGGCTTGTAGAATACTGCATCCCCTGAAAACAGGCATTTACTGTTTTCTGAGAGAAAAAACTCTCTGTTCTGAACAGCAGGTATTTACTGCCAAATTTGTAGATGTCTTTTTTGAGCAATCACTGTAAAGTAATTTAAAAATATGGAATATCTTTAAGCAATGATGCTTAATATTTGATGACATGGACTATTCAATTACCTGAAAAAGTTACTCATCCAAGCAACTTGGATAACTTCTGAAGTCATCAAAGGCAGATGATCAGCCCCCCAGAGTGGGAAGACAGGTAATATATCAGTTCAGAGGTGCTTGTTTTATGAGGGAATCAGTCCATTTGGCCCATTTCCTTAGGGGAAACATACAGTTACAAGAATGTTTGGTCATTCCTGGACTGGCAGCTTCAAGGCATGCACTTCTCCTCCCTCCTTTCTGAAAGGATAACATTGCCAGGTGTGACTGGGAGATGAGCTTCAGACTCCAGAATGATTTGCGTGGAAATAGAATTGCCTGAACTTCATGGAAAATTTGACTGAACCTGCCTGACAACTCCTCTCTTGCTAAGGAGGTACAAAATGGGCGAGCGAGATGGCTTCTTGTTCTACGGACTTCTGACATTACAGATTGGAGGATCCTGAGCAGCTCCTAATCCCTGTTTTGCTCTCTGCTGGATGATCTGATCTCCACCTAACTGCTGGTATCATCATGTTAAGCACATCAAGCCCTTGCAGGAACATCAGTATTGTACAGGGTGGCAGAGTCAGCTTCTGATGTTCTGCACCCAGTGATTGGAAAGTCTGCCTCCATGTCCCTTTGGTCAGAAAGGAGTCATTAGTTCAGATTATACTGCCATTTATTCATCTTTAAGAGAGGAAGATATCACTTTATGTATTAGCGGATGGAAATTGTACATCCATTTCAGCTTTGAATAGGTGAAACCTGACTAGAGAGTTGTATACACCCCACCCCTGGAAATGTTGAAGACCAGGTTGGATGGGGCTTTGAGCAATCTGGTCTAGTGGAAGGTGTTCCTGCCCATGGCAGGGCAGGGTTGGAACTAGATGATTTTTAAGGTTCCTTCCAACTCAAACCATTCTGTGATTCTATGATTCCCTGAAACAGGAGATATTTATAGTAAGTTCCCAACCTTACAGTAAGTTTTTATATTTGAAAAACCTAGGTGAGATAACCACTCAGCTTTTTAAGTGGTTGCCATAGGAGGAAAGAGAAGCATTTACATGTAGTGAAGGAGAAATAAAGTCTTGCAAGGTGCTGTTCTGTATTATCTCAGGCACTTCAGTGTCAATGGGGAATCGGTCATGGCAGGCTTCCAAGTGCTCAGCTTTTTACTAGAACAGTGATGTTCCCTCTAATGCTTTTATCTTTGAGGGAAATTCATCAGATGTAAAACCTGAAGACACATTGTACTCTCCTGATCATCCGCCATTACCATTGTGCCATATGTGTTTTAATACGGCTGACTCCAAATGTTCAAAATTCACAAATCACACTCCCGTAAGTGATATTGAGTTAGAAGCCAGAACTTTTAAAGGAAAAAAAAGCCCAATAAATAATAAAAAGATTTTTTATTTCCTTCTCTTTTAGAGTTATTATTCTGGATGAATCATTATTATAAGGATTCTTTTATGAAAGTTAAGTCTTGATATTTCTCCTTGCCTTTTGCCTTGCCTTGCTTTGTCTTGCCTTCCCTTTCCTTTCCCTTTTCCCTTTTCCCTTTTCCCTTTTCCCTTTACACTTGCGGACGGGGCTCTCAGGGTGCTCTTTAGTTGCCTTTTTGAACATGTTTTTCAAGGAATGATGCTTCTTTTCCCTATTTCTGATTAAGAGAAGTCCTGTGTAAGAAGATGTCCTGCTCCACTTTATCTCTCCTGGCTTTCTGTACACCGAAGAGAAAGACTTTGAGCTTTTCTCATGTCTGGATTCAGCTCTTTAAAGTAGAGTGGTTAGCCTTGTGTGTAAGGCATGGCAAGTCTGCAGGCTAATTCTCTGTCTGTGAGCCACAGGAGTTTGAAAAATGTGATGAAATCTGTTGGTGTTTCAGTTTTTTTTTAAATGAACGTAGAAGATCCTTGACTATTTAACATGACCTGTAAAAATGTTATTTTATTTTTTTTGAGGGCTCACCAAGGAGGCGGAATTCAATAACTTGAAGCATCTGCACTATGAAATGAGTGTCAAGCCTCTGTTACAAATGATGGAGAATTCTGGAGGAACTGACTAGGCTAAACATAGAGCTATAGAGTAATTTTAGAGCAGTCAGTCTCCAGAGTCTGTTTCAGAAAGAGCAGTCTTCCATTAGCTTGTGCCTGCCCACCTGTGCACATATCTGGGATGTTTCTGAGCATCTCAGCATACCAGCACCTTATGGGATCCCCTACCTGGATATATGAAATGCTGATGTGTGGGTGTCTGATGAAAGTCTCTCCACACACCACATAAGGAGTGGTCTGTTAAGTTATTCTAAATACAGACATATCATCTATCTCTGATGCTGTAAAGCACCTGAGACACCTGAACTGGACTGATAGAGCTGATGTGATGCTCATGCCTTGAGGGCATAGTGTGGAGGTAGGTTGGGATGCCCTAGGGCATCTCACATGAAACCAGGGAACAGAGCATGGACAAACAAATCGATTGTCTAGATTTCCATGGAGTTTATTTGGAACTAAGACAAACAGCTCACACCTTGAACTGCCTTAATCTGTGAACAGAATCCACCTTCGGTTGTTACAAGGTGCAAACTTGTGTAATTTGAAATTCACATGGGTTTTTCATCCAGTGGTATTTGTTTGCCAGCATTTTCTTTCAGTTCAGTGATGTATTTTGAAATCTGTATTGCACACTTACTAAATTCCCAAATGAGTTATTAGAGAAGCACAACAAATCATGGGTTTACAATGGCAAGATGGATATCTGCTTTTTTGCATATGTTTTTAATGTAAAAATATGAACAGGCTTCTAATCTGCTCGCTACTGTGTGACCTTTGTATTATTGTTTTGCTAGAAGAGTTTCAAAAATTGTTTCAGACCAGTGGATCATGTCTGAAGGAACAAAACAGCAAATATATTGTTGCTTTTTATTAAGGCTAATGCATGCTAATAAATGCTAATGCCATTTTCTAAAGTATCAAATAGTGACGTCAGACTCCAGCATAAGAATCTGTGGATTAGTCTCAGATAGGCAAGAGATGGATAGACCTCAAAGCTCTAAGATAACAGATTAAAAGGGAAAATGGAAAACTCAGGGATGAAAGGATATGTTTTAAAACACTGCAATCAGATTTCTTATTGTTGATGTGTGTCCCTGTCGACATCATCCCTGTTCTTCTCAAGGGGTCACGTTTCTGTAGGTGTCATCCTTTTTCCAGTCCATGGGATCATGTCCAGCACCTGCTGGTGTCTGAAAAGTCATAGATGCTTGAGTGTGGGCAACTGAACCAAACGGGTGAAGGCTTGATGTTTTGCTCTTTGCTGAGATTATTACGACATATTTGGCCTGGCTGTGCTGCTTTTACACAGCAGACAGATGTCAAGTGTCTTCCCCATGCTGTCTGAATGTCCCCTCCTGATATTTGAAGATTCCTCTGCTCTGTGGTGTCCTGGGATACTGCCTTTAGGTAAGTCTGAGTCTTCCTAGTACCACTGAAAGCAGAGACATAATGCCATTCTGAGTGTAGCTCTGAAGGTTGCTATATTTCGTGAAAGAGAAGTCTTAGTCTTCCCAGCACACACATAGGGATGTTTTACTCTGTCTTGTAAAGATAAAAGAGAAATCTGCCCTGACTAAACTGGAATCCCAGAAGTTAAGTATGTTTGCAGAAAAAAAAAAAGCAAAAGACAAGGGATTTTCTCAGCATGAAGTCAGTCAGTGATGAAAAAAATACTGCAAAGGATAGGGAAGAATTAATGCCAAGAATAGAGTTGTTACAGATCCTCATTAACTGAGGTGCTAGCAAGAATTTCTACCATCTCTAAGGTGAACAACAGATTTGCAAGGGTTTTACATGTTCTTTTCTTCTGGTTGAGCCAGACAACCAGTTATTACAAGAATTCCTATTTGTTATGCCCCAGGTAAGAAGTGAACGGTGCATAAATGTAATTCTTTCTGAGACCTGCCTCAGCAGGCTGTGGTAACAGCTGCCCACCCACAAACACAGAGCCACACGATAAGGCTATTGTGAAAATGATTAGTTAATTGGATTAGTTGTACAATTACATTCTCAGGAATAATCACAGGGAAAGAGAAATCTCATAACAGGCAAGAATTATTTTTTTAACTTGTCACTTCAACAGTGGCAGAGAGGAGAAGATAGATTTCCACTGCAGATTTTTTTTCTTTTTCTATCAGAGATCAACTTTTCTAGAGAGCTGCTGATGTCTGGGAGGAACCTGGGTGAGTTTGAGTCCTGTCCATGCCATGCAGCTTTTGAAAGCAAGCCTTTGGTGTTCGAGGATGGTACCACAGAAAGCTCTTGAGGTGCAGCCAACACAAATGCTGCAAAAGCTGGAAGTGAGAATAGTCAAATATTGAAAGAAGGAGCTACCGCTGTCTTTATATTTCCCCTTATTATTTGTAAAGTTTTTGGATGAAGAAAGTTGCTGTAAGCATTTTCCAGCCCTTTCTCAGTCTTGTTACAACTTTTCTGTCCACTTTTTATCAGGGTACAATAACAGCACAATCGAAAAAGGTAAGACGGTTTTGGTTTCTTAAAATTAGAGGCTTGCTGTGCCTTGCTAGTTTTGTTACCCATTAGCTGGAGGGAAAGCTCATGTTTTTGTTTGTCTGGTACACTTTAAAATGCCCCATCCAAGAAATTAGAGAAAGAAAATAATGACTGAACATACAAAATAGACAGTGAGATGACAGCTAGATGATGACAATAATATGTAATCTGTTCATTAAACCTGCAGGGATCCCACACTCAACTTCAGTAAAACGAAGTTTTTAAAAACGGCACAGAAAGACTAAAATGGCCACAATATTTTCTTTGGAAGTGATGAAGCAATCACTTAAATACACGAACTATTGCTTTGCAACATGACTTGAGTCTGTTTGTGACAAGGTCCCAAAGACATGAGCTCTCTTCAAAAATTATTTTCATTGAGGAGTCCTGGAGTAGAACTATGAGAATATGAGAAGTTGTGTCTCTCTTTAAATAATACAGAGAAGCAATTGTATTTTGGTTTCTGTGGTTATTAACTGCATTCCATATGCTATCCACTTTTTAAGATCCTCTTGAGATGTTCTTTTTTCTTTTTATTGTGTTTCCATTTTTGAAGCGAAACTCTGGACCCACTGAAATCAACAGAAGTCTTGTCTTGTCTGCTGGCAAGGAGTCATAGTTGGTTCAACTTGGTAGGCCAAACAAAAAGCCATGCTTTTTTATATATCCAAGCTAATTTTTTTATCAGATAACCGTTCCTCCTTCCTTGCTGTTTAGGTGAGGAAATGCATTCTTATTCTTCCACCTTCTTGACTGATGGCACTGGCAGTAGGTGCAAACAAATGCTCAAGGAGCACAATAACTTTGGCAACAGATATTAGCTCTATTATTGGCACTATGAGCAACTGTGTACTGAGGATTTAGGTATAATTTGGAGTATGATGGAGCTACATGACCATGTTTGCAGGCAGAGACAGATAACTTGATCCATCCACACATTCACTTACTTTTTCATATTGAGATGACTTTTTCAGCTTAGTCAATAAATAATAGAAACACATTGAGTAATTCAGTCATTCATCAATTTGGAGTGGCGTCATTTTATTCATATAAGGTATCTGGACAAATCAACAAGAGTGAGTCACAAAAAGAACATATTTGCAGTAGTTAGAATTTTTTTGCAAATATGTGAAGTAAGGAAAGCTGAGCTTCAAAGAAAATGTTTATTGCACAAAGACCTGTTAATAAATAGACTGGGAGAAGGACAAACAAGTTAAATGTTATGGGCAAAAATCCATTGAGCCTGTGTAAACTCATCAATTAAATCTTGGAGAGTCTGGTGGGGCAATTTTCATAGGAGCTGTGACCTCTGCTGCTACTGACTGTGACCAGGCTTTTCTAATTACCATGACACTCCAGAGACCACTGAATTGATGATGAGTTTTGTGCAGGCACCTAATCACCATTGCAAAGAGAAGCCCAAAAATTCAGATTGCAGGTGCTTCACTATGTGCTGCTGAGATATATTTTCTCTCTGCATGCAAAACATGGAGTCCTACAAAACTGTTGCCTAGGCACTGGTCTGAAAATTCAGTCCATAGAACTCAGCTTCTTTTTCATTCTTGTCATTCAGCCTTGCTGAGACTGAGTGTGACCTTCCATTTATATGATTTTATTTAAACGATAAATTGCCTACTCCATAAGAGTGTATTTCCTTATGATTTCCAACAATATTTAAATACACCAGAGATTTTTCTTTGTGTACTGCTGGTAGGAGGTTGTTGCATATTGGCAGTTTTGCCTCAACAGAGGAGAGGAATGCCTTATTAACACCTTTTCAAAAACCATTTTACATTTTACTTAAGATTCCCAAGCAGTTGCAAGGCTACTATTCACATTACATTTCTGTTCCATTTAATTTCCTCACTCCTCTTCTGTCTTGAAATGATTAGAAATCAGACAGGCTTCATTCTAGCTTTGTAAGAGAGACTAATTCTTAATGGAATGCAAACAGGACTTTCTCAGAAACATTATATCCTTACACAGATGAGATACAGGTGATCAGAGGCTAAATAAATATGGGCTGCCTC